AGCTGCATCCCATCATCCCCCTCAGCCCCCCTTCCCCCCTCCCTCCCCCCCCCCCCACACCACCCCCCCAACCCCCCCAGACCCGTATAACAACCCGCTACCACCTCAAACCCGCCCGCCGCCTCCCCAAACCCAAACAACCCTCCTCCTCCGACCCATCACAACCATCCCAACCCCCACAATCACAACCAGACTCCTCCGCCTCCTCATCCCAAACCACCCCAACCCGCGGCCACCTCATCCTCAAAACCTTCGACCCCTCCACAGGCGTAACCCTCAAATACAAAACCTCCAAAGCGGCCGAGGTTTCGCGCCTGGTGCAAATGCTTGGGACCCTTGGTCGACGAATGGCTGGTGTGCCTGTCACTGTTGGGGACGGGGCTGGGGCTGGAGGGGATGAAGTGATGCTTGATGTTCCTGCGGGGGGTGGTGGTGGTGTTGGGGAGAGTGGGAGTGGAGCGGCGACGCCGGCGGTTGGTGGGAAGGAGCAGCAGCCGCAGCAAGGAGGAGGAGGTGGTGGGAAGGGGAAGAAGAAGAAGGGGAAGAAGTGAGATGGAAGAAGGGGGGTTTGGTGTTGGTATGTATGGTTGGTTGGCTACGCAGTTAGTCGCCAAGTGGGATAAATGAAACAAAGCGTCTTGAAACCCAGTGTTCATTAGTCTTCCCCTCCCGTTAGGAACATAGTTGAGCTTTAAGCAGGATGATAGGAATAGGTATGACATAAACGTTCTGCAAACAATTGAATACAAGTTCAACCACGGTCACTGTTACAGTGCTAGACAGCTTTCAGATTCAGTTGTATTCCTAGCATGAGCATCTACTCATACATGCCAAATATGTTTGTGTGCATCATCCCCGCCGCATACCATCATAAGACCCCATAAACCCCAGAGTGCCTCCATAGAACGCCCAAAAACGCCGTTTTGCCAACACGGTCCCGCCCGGGCAGCATTATCTTGATATACAGATGCGAACAGTAAAAGAAAATATCCAAACCTCGTCTCACGAGGCTGGACGGGTAGGCCAACGACGCGTTGCCGCTTCTATGCGAGAGAAGACTCCGCACTTAGCAAAGGAAAATAGACCATGAGAAGAGTATCAATTACAAGATAAGGGGTATTGGGGAGAGAAAAGAAGACGGAAACGCAAGAGACAACCGTTTAGAAGTCGTCGTCAAAGGTGAAGTCACCGCCGTTCTCGCCCTTCGTCTCCTCAACCTCCTCTTGGACCTTCTTGGTGCTGGCCATGACACCAGCCTTCTGGTACTCGCCGACACGCTTCTCGAAGAAGTTGGTCTTGCCGCCGAGCGAGATGTTCTCCATGAAGTCAAAGGGGTTGGTGGCGCGGTACACCTTCTCGTTGCCAAGGGCGACGAGCAGGCGGTCGGCAACAAACTCGATGTATTGTTTCATGAGGTTGGAGTTCATGCCGAGAAGGGCGCAAGGCAGGGCCTCAGTAAGGAACTCCTGCTCGATGCGGACAGCATCGGTGATGACGTCCTGGATGACTTGCTTGCTGGGGCGGTTGTTGAGGTGGGAGAAGAGGAGGCAGGCAAAGTCGGTGTGCAGGCCCTCGTCACGAGAGATGAGCTCGTTGGAGAAGGTAAGGCCGGGCATGAGACCACGCTTCTTGAGCCAGAAGATGGAGGCGAAGGCACCGCTGAAGAAGATACCCTCAACGGCAGCGAAAGCGACGAGGCGCTGGGCGAATGTGGACTCCTCGTCGGTGATCCACCGGAGAGCCCAGTCGGCCTTCTTGCGGATGGCGGGAATGGTGTCAATGGCATTGAACAGGTGAGTGCGCTGGGCGGGCTCCTTGATGTAGGTATCGATGAGGAGCGAGTAGGTCTCGGAGTGGATGTTCTCCATCATGATCTGGAAGCCATAGAAGCAGCGGGCCTCAGGGATCTGGACCTCGCCGCTGAAACGCTCGACCAGGTTCTCGTTGACAATGCCGTCGGACGCGGCGAAGAAAGCGAGAATGTGGGAGATGAAGTACTTCTCGTCGTCGTTGATCTTGTTGTTCCAGTCGTGGAGGTCCTTGGAGAGGTCAATCTCCTCAGCCGTCCAGAAGGAAGCCTCGGCCTTCTTGTACATCTGCCAGATCTGTACGTCACCTGTGTTAGCCCTTGACCCATTCATTCTGTGTCTTGACACAGGGGTGGCGCTACGTACCTCGTGATACTTGATGGGGAACAGAACGAAGCGCTGGGGGTTCTCCTGGAGGAGAGGCTCGTCCGCCTCCTGGGCCTTGATGGTAGCCGCCACAGAGGGCTTGGGCGCTTCCTCCTTCTTCGCGACAGTGGTTGGCTTGTGGTTGGCGTCAATCTCAGCCTCGAGGGTGGCGAGGTCGGAGTCGAAAGGAGCGTTCTCCTTGTTGGAGGCGGAGAAGTCAAGCTTCTTGACGGGAGACTCCATCTTTAGGGATTGCATCGCAGAGACAGCCTGGACATTGGTAACGCGTTAATTAACGTGGACTCGACGCGTCGGGGTATGGGACGCGGGGCACCAACCTGCTTTGAGGGAGTGACCTGCGCAGTCATTTTGAATGTGTGTGTGGTATGTGGCGGGAATGGTGTGGTTGAATGTCGCAAGAAAAGATACGAGGAGTTCTGATGCTTGGGGAATATCAATTGCTGTTGTATGTGAAAGTCGTGGATCGGGAGTTGTTGTCAACAGAGGATGTGTCGGGAGGAGGAGGGAAGCTGGAGGCGCGACTCTTAAATGCAACAGGTTTGCACGCGGTCTCCACGGCCCACCTTGATCAAAGTGCGCCTACTTTGCAGGGATTCGCGTCGGACGCGACTTGGACCCGTTTGCTGCCCTTGGCAAGTGCGGCGTCGCTGCGATTCTCACACCCCAGCAGGCCCAGCCCCTTCTTGTCTTCCCTACGTGTGTTCACTCGCCCCAGGCATCAATCCACCCAAGCCCTGCGAAAGAGCGTTGTGGAAGTCTTATCCCTTGTCGGCTTAAACCTCGCATTTATCAGATTTTCGGCCGAGCCGGATTGAGTGGTGTGGTTTTCAAGACAGCCCCACTACACAGTATGAATAAAATGCACTTTAAGTGCTTCACGTTGTGAACGCGTCCTCCCAGGCGGGACAATGCGCCTCTCGAGTTAAGTCGGACCTCAATCTTTCTATCACTCAGATGTCAGCCGGTAAAATGTTAACGTTAACCGTTGTATTATTCGTATAATTAACTATGCCTCAGACATAAATCTGCCTTCTCCCTTTTCGATTTTTTCCCCTAAAGTTGTCCTTGCACTGCTTGCTTCCCCGGGTCTCCAGCGGGGTGTTCTTCGCGTCTCGGCGCCTCGATCGCTCACACGGCTGCCGAATTGAGCTCATCCCTGGTCGCTCACCTTGGCGACTCGCGAGCTTGAAAAGGAAGCAGCCCTCCACCGTTCCATTTTGTCATCTAAACATAAGCCCAACATAATCACAGAGCTGTGGACCTTTGGAGAGCTTGACTCAAACGAACGGGACGGCACTGTTTTCACAGATTCTCGGGTTTAAGCATCCTTTCGAAGATGCATGACTAGCTGACCGACAGTTCGCATCAAAATGAGAAGAAAAATAGGAAGCGATTCACTGAAAATCTATGACCCTCGAGTCGAAGTTGAGCAGATATTAAAAACGCCCCCCCGAAGTAAGTATCCGCAAAATCAACGCCATAGCCCACGCTCTCACCGCGCCGACGCTTCCAGCATTATCATCAACGCCATCTATCTTTCCATATTATCGCGTCGCGCTGCGACAACTCCAATCCACGCTTGCCACGCCACCAAAGACAACCCTTCGTTCTAGTTCTTCTCCCTCGGATCCCGCGCTTGTCGCCCCGTCAAACTACGGCTGGACAACGGTGGGGCACCAACCTTCGGCGCAGGCGTCCAAGCCGGCGGCACAGCAGCCGGGGGAGCAGATCCGATGGGTTCCAGTTCCCGTATCGGCTCGATGCCCTCCTCGACGTCCCGATCCTGCGGAGATACCGTCAATTCTGCGGGTACGCTAACCTTGGTCCCTTCTTCCTCGTCCTTCACGACGCCTTCACGCAGGGCCTTGGCCTTCTCAGTCAGGTACGAGTCGAGCAGCCAGGCGTTGCGCGTGTTGGCGCGGAAGGCAAAGTCGACGGCGTCACCGAGCACCGGGATGAAACCAAAAGCAAAGTCGAGAATGATGAAAGTGATCATCATGGAGTAAAGGCGCTTAGGCAGGCCGCCATCTACCTTGGAGGCGGTGCGCACAATGGAGAGCGAGATCAGCACTTCGAGGGCATCACCGACGCTGATACATGGTTAGCCATCTGCAGCATAAAGGTAGGCGGAGAGGGAAACGACTTACATAGGAATGAGCCCCAAGATTGCGGACCAGCCAAAGCGGAAGCTGAAGCAGCAGCAGTGGAATTGCTGATCCCAGCGGTAGGCCCTCCTCCGAACCCTGCGGAGGATTTTGGCATCATTCTTCGACAGGCCCTCCGGAATAGGCCTCTCCCGTCTCTTCGTCTTTGTCCTGCCGTTCTTCTCGATGGTGACTGTTTCCATGTAGGGGTTCTGCGATGGGGTATTAGAACCGAGCTCCAGACTTCACATGCCCCTCCCTCTTAGGCATTTTGACCACGCGAGGCAGATACTTACATCCGAGTTGGGCTTCTTCTTGCCATATCTTTTCAGGGCCTGCTTGCCCAGGATGTTGACAGCGGCGTTCATGGTGGGCAATTCTTTTCGGCTTCCTTGATCCCACACGAGGCCGTTGAGAGTGGGTGGTCAAATGTGGTGTTGGTGAAAGAGAGTACGAGCGCAGTGAGACGGGCGGCCAAGAGCAGCGAGGTCGATATTATAACAACCGTTGCCCGGGTTTTGTTGGGGCCGTGGCGGTAACAGGTTTGATTGCTGCGATCCGCGATTGGGGGCGATTTGTTGCGGTATTGGGTGCTTTCTTTGTCAGTTTCAGGCGCGCGCTTCGAAGGCCCGATTTGGAAACACTTTGGCGCTGGCCTGGGGATCCCCTTGCCCGGTCGTCTGGTCTCTTGCGGCCAGAAAAATAAGCAGACGAGACGCAAAACCGGGGGACAAGTCCGAGGGGTGGCCCTTTTTCAATTCAATTCGGGCATTGGACCTCCTGATTCTGTCCAGGTCACCCCAATCATGAAACCAATGCCTGACTAGCTGGTGGTGCACCAAACCGGGCCCTGCTTGCGCTAGACAATGACGTCCTTGGAGCCCTCCCGTCTGCACTTTTTCGTTCCCCCCTGCCGGTTTAGCGCGCCCATGCGCCCATGCAGTGCTTTGGTTGGCCTCGGTTGACCGCGGCCGCGATTGCAGGGGCACTGCACCGCCACAGTTTCGGAGATGTGGCTTGCGTGGAGCTTGGACTGTGGCGACAGCTTCGGCTCATGCCCGCCACACCACGTCCCGCTTCGGCTTGCTGGCAATCGCTCCCTACTTGTTTCTGGCGCCCCAACAACCAGACACAAGCTTCATGTTCATGAGCCTCTCACGAAGTGGGGACAAATGAGTGCCATCCACGTCTGCACACGTCGCCAGCCGCAAGTTGTTCGCCAGATTTTGACTCGCAGGCGGTAACCTGCGTGCCATACAGGAGCCCGATCAATCCCATCACCGACCCAAATCCAGCCTGACCTCACACATCCATCGATTGCCACCATCTCGGGAATCAACCCAACCAACAATCCAACACGTACTCATCCAGCACCATCCCGCCCGCCGCACTCGGAAAAATTCCCTTCGTGTCTCCTTCCTTTCCCTCCCGTTTGCATCGTGCGCCATACCCATTGGCCCGCCGCGCCGTGTGTTCCTGTTTTGCTGTCCCAGGCCCTGGGACGCATCTCATTACTTGCTGGGTTGGTGGGGAAACCCTGCGGCAAGCTGTCGGCTCCCCCGCCCTTCGACCCAAAGGCCTCAGCGGCGACCCGACCTGACGATTCAATTGAGGGGTGAGAGAAAAAGAGAGCGCACGCTTGCGCTTGTCGTGGGCATACAGAAGAGGAAGAGAGGGACGGCAGAGCAAAAAAGTACTGGGCCACCACCGAAAACCCTCGTACTCTTCCAGTTCACTGGGCAGATTCTTTTCCAAACCGCACGTCGCCATCGTGGATATGCTCCATACAAGACATCGCCATGGCCGAAACAAAGATGCAACTCGAAGATTGTAGGCTACATTTTTACCGCGCTCGTGTCTTGTCCATCATCCCAATGCTGACTTCACATTTTCTCCTCGTGCCCAGGGTTGGACGACCTCTGTGTCCGGTTTATCATCCACCTCCCCAAAGAGGACCTCTCCTCCGTCGCCCGTATCTGCTTTCAAGTTGAAGAGGCACAATGGTTCTACGAAGATTTTATCCGGCCACTGGACCCCGCCCTCCCGTCCATGACCCTCCGCAGCTTCTGCCTCCGCATCTTCAAGCACTGCCCGCTGCTGGCGCCCTTTTCCGCCGAGAACCACATGCGCGCGTTTGAAGAGTTCATGCTATACAAGACACGCGTTCCCGTCCGCGGCGCCATCTTGCTGAACGAGGACATGGACTCGACGGTGCTGGTGAAGGGCTGGAAAAAAGGCGCCAGCTGGAGTTTCCCCCGTGGCAAAATCAACAAGGACGAGGACGACCTCGACTGCGCCATTCGTGAGGTGTATGAAGAGACCGGCTTCGACATCAAAGAAGCCGGTCTGGTGCCCAAAGATGATGAGGTCAAATACATCCAGATCTCCATGCGCGAGCAACAGATTCGCCTCTACGTGTTCCGCAATATCCCCATGAACACAGTTTTTGAGCCCAAGACCCGCAAGGAGATCAGCAAGGTCGAGTGGTATAAGCTTTCGGAGCTGCCAGCCTTTAGGAAGAAGGGCAACCACGCGCAAGATGATGGTGCTGCCGCTGCCGCGTCAAACGCCAACAAGTTCTACATGGTTGCCCCGTTTCTCGTGCCGCTCAAGAAATGGGTAGTCCAACAGAAGAAGAAGGACGAGAGCCCGGCCGTCCATCATCTAGCCGTCCAGCCTACGGTGGAGGAACCTCTTACAGAAGAGGAGATGGGTGGTCAAGCCGAACCAGTCGCCGCACCCTCGAACAACTTGGCGGGCATTGAAACGCTGGAGGGTGCAACTCGGGAACTGCAACGCCTTCTCAAGGTTCAGCCGCCAACCCAGGGTGTACAAACGACTGAAACACCAGCGACAACGAACCCGACTACTTCGGCCGCCGGGAAAGGAGAGGCACTGATGGCACTCTTACAAAAAAGCGCAGGCATACCATTGTCACAGAGTTCGCAGCCGCATCAACAACCCAGCACGTACGTTCACACGCCATCAGACTTCGCTTATACCGGTGCCTCCGAACCACACGCTCCGCAACAGTACCACGCAGCGCAGAGACAACCCGTGGAGGGCTACCAGAATGCACCAGTCTCCGGATATTACGGCCACGGTCAAGATGTGATGGGCAATGCTCAACCTGCGCCACAGCACTCCGACCGCAATCCGTTTGTGAACCCGGCACAACAGCAACGCCACGAGCCAGTGCTGTTGCACCCACAACCGCTGCCGCCGCAAGTGCAGCAGTCTGTTCTAACTCGGGGAATTTTGCCAACTCCCGCGCTCCTAGATGCCGCGCATCAAGCCGGTCTAGGTGGCCAAGCCGGGCATTACGCCCAACAGCGGGGTGGCCTACAACAACAGCAGCAGCAACAGCAGCAACAACAACAGCTCCGTCATGGAAACCCCTATGGTCAACATGGGGTGCAGTACAGTCACCAAGCGCATTCGAATCAGCTCCATGCCCGCGGTAACGACGCCCACGCGCCCCAACAGCAACAAGCCGCAAAGACTGCGCAGCTGACAGGCCACGCCATGTCGCTTCTGAGTGCCTTCAAGGGCAACAACGGCCCACGTGAGAGTGGCGAACAGCACAAATCGCGCGGAGTCACGCCACAAGAGGCCAATTCTGCGCAGGGGAGCACCAACCAGTCCCCGTATCAGCCCGGGCCATGGTCCAACGCGCCCACGTCTCAAGCCGCCCATGTGGCTGCACACTATCTACCACAGCACGGAGGGGCACCCGCCGCCCCAGTGAAGACATCGCCCCGTTCCGCGCAGCCGTCCGAGCCCTACCATCCAGCACCAAAACACACGCAGCCCACGGAAAACCATCGAACGGTATTGTTGGACATGTTCCGCAAGGCTGGTCCCCGATCGCCTCTAAGTCACGAAATCAAGTTGCCATCTACGAAATCGCAGCATAGCCCAGGTTACGCAAGGAAAGACGAGCCCTCCAGCCCATCGTACAAGGCTACTTCCACGGCCGAGCCGGCTGCTGATCCAGGCGGTTCACCCCTAAGAGCGCACCCGGAACCGAGTTTATCCTACCGACCCGTTCAGATTTTAAGCCGACCGAAGCAGGGAGCGGCGGATCAAGCGGGCAAGGTCCAAGACTACACCAGTGCGCAGGAGCAGTTACGGCGTCTTCAGCATCGGTTTAGTCCGCTGGGCTCGTCGCGCCAGGACGCCCGAAACGCCCCCCGCCAAGGCGTCCCCTCGCCTCGCGACCGGTCGTTCTACCAACAGATGGAGCAGCAAGAGCCCAAGCGGTCACCGCAACTCAACTATGTTGCTGCGCAGGCTGCCAGTCTCCCATATGCGCCGCAACCAACGTCTAGCGCCCAATCCGTCCCGTCGTATCAGCAGCACCAGCAGCAACCGTATCAGCAGCAGCATCATCCCCAGCATCCCCAGCACCCGCAACAGCAAGCACCACAACGCAAGGACTCGAATTCGGAGCAGAAGCAACTACTTCTCTCTCTCTTTAGCAAAGAGCAGCAGCAGCAGCAGCAACAGCACCAGCAAAAGCATCATCAACAAACATCCTCGCCCACCACCTACGCCAGTACAGATAACAGGGACGCCAACCGCGCCGGCAGCAGCAACAGTACCGCCAGCCGAGCCAAGGGCAAAGCCAGAGAACCCCCCGTCGGAGGCGTATACGACCAGGCCCGGTCCCAGTCAGGAAGTGCCCCTCGCTCGCGCGTCGCATCGTTTGCTTCCCTTGGAGGGGCGGCCGAGGGCACTGGCTCAGGCGCCGCCACAACTGGTGGTGGTAGCGGAGTTGGTAGTGCCGGTCCCCCTATTGCCGGGAGTGCGGCGACCTCGCGCCGTGGCAGCCAGACACCTATTTCGCCGGCGGATCGGAGTTTCTTGTTTTCGTATTTGGAGTCGGTGACGAATACCGGGCGGTGAGGGATGAGCTTTGGACTCTTCGACGGCGGAGAAGGAGCTTAACAGGAATGGGATTGTGAATGGGTGAGGGGGAGTCAAAACAGCGAAGTGGTGGACGGACAGACGGACAGACAAGTGGTGGGGTTATTAGGTGGCTGACCAAATATGGTTGTTTCCTTTGAGCGGCAATAGAGTTAAACACTTCCGTTATTATCTTTTTTTTCTTCATCTCTGTATTGTTCAACTATCAGGCGGTGGGGTGGTAGGTAGTTTATTGTCCTCTAACTTGCACACATGTACATATATTCGTGTATGTCTGTCATATATTGACCTGATGAAAACGTTCAGGGGCATGCCGGTTCGGCTTCGCATCGTAACTGGAATGACTCTATTTACTCCAGCATACCATACACACATCGTACTATTAGAGAAGAACCTCTTCGTAGTTGGTTATTGCTCCCCCTTGGATCATACCGTCTCGATCTCCTTGCCAACGTGAACCTCCTCAGGCTCCCCTAGTCATATCGGTAATGATTCATGTCATGTCTTGGACTCCCTGTATATCTTGTTTTGTTTACTTCATACATTTCCTCCTTTTTCCGGAGGAATTGTCTGGCCAAACAGATGCAACCCCACAAAAACTACCGGGTCAACGCGTTTCCTGACTGTTTACTCTCCAACATGACGTCACAGCCATGTTTCGATCTTTGTGCATAGGTTCACTACATGAACGAGCAAGCGGGTGAAAAATTCGAGGAACTTGACCGTCCGAGGATAATTGGAGGTGTCATTGCAAAGAGATAAGCTTTCGAAACGTTTGGCCATTTACATACTGCACCAACCGGATATTGGAGAAATAACTCGGGAATTGTGCAGCGGCCTTCCCCTCTGTCCAACGACGTGGTACGAAATACATTTTATCTTCAATATCATAGCAACCCTATCCACCACCTCACTAGCTGAACACTACACCGCAATCTCCAGCGCCTGGTTTCCCTGAAGAGTGGCGGCAATCTCTTCGTCCACAGTATCATCTAGGTTCAGCAACTGGAAGCGGTTCGAGACGCCCCTGAGTCCCGTCTTCTTGGATGCAGTTGTTACACTGTCGCGTGGTTTGGCAACGGCGGCTTGGTGGTACGGCTGTGCACATTCATCCGCAGCGTAGGCGATTTTTTTGCCCTTGTACCGCCTACACAGGTTGTTAGTTTTTAGGGGACTCGAACAAAAGTATAACAAACAGTTGACGAATATACGCACAAGCGGCTCATCATACACTGGCGCGCATAAATGGCGTTGTGGATCGAATTTAGGCCAATGTGACAGTTGCCACTCACAAACCCTATCTTGACCACGACTAGATTGTGAATATGGTCGAGATCTTCGCGAATGACATCCTCCTTGTGTCGGCCATCGCAACCATGTATCACCAGATTACGGCTAGCGCCGTTGCCGATTTTATTGGCGACGTGGTCAGGAAGTACGAATTGGCGGTCGCTCCACTTGACTTCGACCTACTCATCAAGTTCATCAGTTGTCAACTGTCACAGAAAAGGGCAAATCAATCCCAAAGTCCAAGCATCAGAAACGCACCCTTTTGTTCCGGATGTACAAGTCGTGCCGACGGACGTGGTCATAGAAACCCTTCGCGTCCTCCGAGCGGACAAACGAAACGGCGGCGGACCGGTCGTGATGGCGTACCCAGATATCTAGCAAAACACCTCCACGCACAGCATTGGTAATTTCAACATGCGTCGTGCCGTCGGCGAGGCCCGAAAGCTGTAACGTGCGAAGGCATGCTCGCTCATACCGAGTGCGCGACTCCTGGGGCTGGACATCGTCTGTGCCAGGGTTCCCATCGATGGGCGAGTCGAGGTCGCTCGAGCCGTTTTCGTCGGTCTCGTCGTCGCTGTCATCCTCCTCATCCCCGTCATCCCCGCCATATCCGGCCCGTTCGTAATGCGGGCTGTTCGAACTTCTGAGAGACACGCCACCGTGGATGTGACCGCGGCCCCCACCAGGGGTGGATGCGTTTGTATACAAGGGAGCGCCTCCACCTTCGTTGGAGTTCTTGTTAACTTGTTGCTTGACACGGGCGGAACTTCCAGACTGGCGGATGGTCTCGTCGTCCTGGCTAAGAATCTAGAGCTCTACGTCAGCCACCATCCGAACCGAGAAGCTTGGGTCGCAGAGAGAGATGTAGTAGAGAAAGAGAGGCGTAGTTCTACATTCACCGTATCTGCGTCCACGCCACCACGGAACAGGTTTCGTCTGAGATTGGCTACAGCCGTTAACAAACCTTCAGCACGGTACGCACCAGGAGTACGGCCAACGCCTACCATATTGTTTCGAGATCAAAATGAGGTTGTCATACTCAGCCCGTGGGATGACCACGGAGGAATTGTGTGCACCGGTCTTCCGCGACTCGGTGTTCTGTCCGGTTGTGTTAGCGTTTTCTAGCCCATGGGTTCCAGTGCATTGCTTGGGAAACGCTTACAAACCGAGCTCTGTATAGGTGTGTCGTGGTGTTCGTTAGCCCCTCCACTCAACCACCGTGAACTGCGACTCGCCAAGCACCAACCCCACGTCAAGTGGTGCCGATAAAGGAATCCTGTGTGGTGCAATGTGCGTTTACGTACCTGCGTACTAGAGTATCGAAATAATCCCGGTCAACGGTGACCGCGGTGCTGGAGGACGACGACATGCTGGGCCGACGACCTCGAAGATATCGAGTGAGGCTGAAGAAAATGGGTTCCAAGTTTGGAAGTTCTCTGGTTGGAGAAGTGGAAGGTACCCAGCTGACATGGGATCTACCGTACCTCTTGCCTCTGTACCTCTCGCTAAAAAAAAAAAGCCTTTATGGCGGCCGTAACGAGGAACACGGTATAGTAAGGCAAAATCAGGTAGGTGCTGCCGACATACAGTATGAGAATGACACCTGCATGAAGGAGGAACCATCCCGTCATTAAGACATGACCTGACAAGGAAGCTGAGGAAGCTGAAGCAGATGCAGCAAATGGTAAAAGACAATGCTATTGGACTAACCTATCATATGTTGAGATGTTGATGAGACTCTTCCAAGCAACTCCCTCCTCTTGCTTTCACTTTCACCTTCACGAGCATTCACGTTTTCACGTTTGTATTCCCATAGATACCAATACGCAGCTTAGGCGGCTCCGCCAAACAATGGAACCCGGGAAACTTAGCGGGCTGGAAACTGCAACGGGAAGGTGCATCTGTGCATGTATCGACAGATCGGCCAAGCACATAGTTTACTAGTTTGGTGGGGTGAGAGACAGCCATGGAACAAGATAACTTAGAAGTAACAGAGCGACCTAGATAGATAAATCACCTTTTGACAATATCCAGCTTCCTCGAGGTAGGTGGTTCTTTCCTTCGCCGATGCTTCGTTGCATTATCGGTGATATTGGGTGGAGAGACCTACATTTTCAGCTGGAGTGCTCGGTTTCTAGTTGTGTCATCTCCAGTCGGGATGACCAAATGGCTGGCTCTTCTGTAGTGTAGACACACCAATTTTCCTGGGAGCCGCTAATTTCAAGGGCCAGTTGATAAGTGCCCGGTCCGGTAAATAAATTTTGGGTATGTGGTTCGATTCAAACCCTCTTGGGGGGAATTGCACAAATCTGTATTTTGTGCTGTGGTTGATATTGCCAGATGACACTAACCAAGCCAAAAAGGGGATTGACAGAACCGACTGCAGGGGGTTCGGGAGAATCCGTTGAGCCTCTCTTTAATAGAAAGAACAGGAGATATCTGTAGTTACTTGGAAAAGCCATCAAATTGTTTAAATCCATGGAAGGGATAGAAATACCCCCGCATCGGGTCCGCGATGTCAACGATTGGAGTTACCGGTTTGCGGGCCCCTACCCGTAAATGCTCTTTTTGGCGTGGTGTTGGTGGCACATGCCCTGGGCCTCAACACTGCTGCTAGGCAGAAGATGGGGAAAGAGTGTCCCTCCAAGAGGGGATTGCGGCAAAGGTTTCACGACGTCCGCTTCTCCACCGGTTGAAAGGCAATTCTGGGGTTCCGGTCCATGAGCAAGCGGCGCGCTTTCGTCTAAGCTGGGCATTCAATCCGTTGGAACATGCAATCCAAAAACACTCAACCTCAAGCGATGCGAGCCGTGCCTTTTTTCTATCCTTTCGTTTCCGTTGCGTTGCGTCGCGGAGGAGGCGAGGCGGCTTAAACTTGGCGGACGGGAACCGGGGAAGGGAACACACCGGCCGTGGTGATCGTGATCGTGATCGTCGGGGAGTGAGAGACACTTTGAGACTAAAGTTGCATGATTGCGGGCAGGCGGGAAGGGGGGCTCATAATTTATAAGGTGAGCCTGTTGAAAGGGAAAATACTCTTCAGTTGAATTTGTATGGGCAAGCGCAGTTGGAGGGTTACATGCTTGGGAATATCCAGCTTTTTGGTTACTTTTCGACCTCGTGTTTGTGGCCGCTAAAAATAATATGGCTGCCGTACACGGTAGAATTGTGAAAAGTGAGGCCATGCGGGCGCCCCGCCAAACCAAATACGAATTCCCGTGTTGGGTGTTGGCTTGGAGACAAAATCTTAGCCAAGCCGTCGGCATGTGGGACCTTGCTAGCCAGGGTCTTCCCGGTGCCGCTTGGGCCTGGAGCTCAGCCCGATCCTCCCGCGCCTGCCATTGGCCGTGCCGTCCGCAAGATCCTGCAAATCTGGCGCCTGGAACCTCCTGGGTGCATTCCAACTCGCTCCAAATTCGTGTTTCTCTGCTGCTGTTGTGTCTGTTTTGCCTCTCCCAATTCTTGCGTTCTGCTCCCTCCCAGAGCCACCAACCAACAAGGGCGCCCCTCGTTTTGCTCAACCTGTTTCTTTGGCAACAACGCTCGCTTTGCCGTCCGAACGTTCGCTTTTATCACCCCTATCCTCGCCTTGACTGTCTCGCAGACTCCCTCCGGTTCGTCCGGTGTACACGCCGCCCGTCTCGTTTTTTCCGTTTCTCGCGGGCCTCGCTTTGGTCGGCCCAGTTATAGGGGCTGCCCTTGCCGAACGCCGTACAACGTCCGCGACCCGGCCATCTTGGACGCCCAGCACCACAGACAGAATTCTCCGACGTTAAACAGGAATTCCTTTCTGGGTCATTCTCAATAATCCTCGGAGGAGTATAGTTTATCTGAGACCCAGTCCACCAGTGTTCAGCACCCCAAATCATCACGAGTCAACAACACGAAAACCCCCGACCAAAAGAAAACACGCCGATCCGTACCTTTTCTCGTCGCCATCATGAAGGCTCCTTTGTCTGCAGGCCAACTGGCCGTGGCGCTCCTGTCCTTGACTCCCGCCGTATCTGCGTTGGCGTGGCCGAGGTGGCTCCCAGAACTCGACTCGCTCGTTGTCCGCCAGGATGATGGATCCTCGACCGGTACGTCTGCATTATATCCTCATTGAAAACTCACCTGTCTAACCTGCGATTCATTAGATACGCCCTCTGCTACACCAACGCCATCACCCAACCCATCGGACAACACTAACACGGGTAACAATAAGGGCGACAGCACCGATGAGCAGCAAACCACCACAACCGGCAAGAACAATGAGCCGCAACAGACCAATTTGAACACGGGCGGTATCAAACAGACGGGCTCTCACACTGCGACTATGACGGGCAACCGAACCACCACCCACCGATCCAAGCACACCATGTTTGATCCCCAAGCTCCGCCCGGTGGCGTCGTAATGGTCACGCCCGCCGTTACAGATGGCCTTGCCTTGTACAAGATTGGCTCCAAGGTGACCTGGGGGTGGAACTACACCAACGTGCAGGGCACGCCGACGGGTATTGACATCTACGTCAAATGCTCCAAGGTACCACAGCCATGGACGGTTACGCAGAACATGACATACACCAAGACCGGCAACTACACCTGGGACACGAAACAGTTCCAGACCGACAACGTCGCTAACCCGCTGCTGACCGAAATGTACACCCTCGTCATCGCCGACGCCGACACCGGTATCAGTGCGACTCCGGAACCCGGTTATCTTGCCCCGTACTCTGGCTTCAGCTTTGGTTTGTACGAGCCACAGGAGTACCACGACAACGGCGATGGATACCAATGTGCTTCTTGCAGTGGAGCCATGTCTAGTCTTGACCCGCGCGCCGTGAGCGTCGCTGTGATGATGAGTACCGTGACGGTTCTCAGCTTCACTTGGTTTGTTGCTGGCTTTGGAGCGTTCTGATTTTTGGCTTCTGGCTTTTTGTTGAGTTTCGATTTTTGAATTCGACCCTAGAGACGCGACGACGGAGGAGAAGAGAGGGGTGGTGTCGGTGAGGGTCCCGGCACCAGCGGCCGATAGCGAAATATGCTCTTTGTAATGTGTTTTGGAGAACGAAGGATCCCAGGCCAAGTCCGATTTGATGTTTTGTCGGATTCCCGACTAATATGGAGTGCAAAGAGCGGAAAGGGCGTTGGATTTTGTCTTGTTTTTTTGCTTTTACGTTCTCTCTCGGTCAGCATTGCACTAGCATCATTCATTGGTTTTTGAAGAGGTAAAAGGCCTGAAGTGGGAGAGAGCGGGGAGGGAAGGGAATGATGAGCTCGCCCAGGGAGGAAGCGAAACGGTGGTGGTATCTGTCGGATGTATCTTTCTTGGTTATGATACTGCATATATAAATATCAGATAACTTAATGAGGTATATTTGGTGGCTATGTGCGTTCCCCTGTCTGATGGTATTTGTGTACTGTTACCCTAGGGGATAAATCTTCCCTTCTAGCCTTGTCACGCATCGTTATGTCCTAACTCTTCGATGCTACACCATCCGCAACGAAAACCCACCACCCTTCTCCTCCCTATCCCGCCCCGAGAAAATCCCAATAAAGTCCACGGCCCCGAAATCCGCCGCTCCGGCCCCGGCTTGCTGACCCCGTCCAGGCGCGTTCGGCGTCTCCCTTCGCCTCCTCCTCTCCTGCCCTGCTTTACTCGGGAACGTGGGGAACATGGCCTCCTGTTTGGGTTTGGGATCCTGAGCGAAATATTCATGTGAGAGCATCTCGTGTGCGGTTGGGCGTCGGGACGGGTCGAGCGAGAGCAGGCTGTTCAGGAGGGAGACGCCGGCGGTAGTGAGAAGTGGAAAACGTGTGCGGATGCTGGATCCGGATGGAGGGGCGGAGGATGATGATGAGGTTGGTAAACGTAACGCGCGGGCGTTAGGGAGGCGGCGAAAGCCGGGCCAGGTGTCGTCAGTGGGCAGGCCGCAGAGCTCAAAGATCTTGGTGAGCTCGTCGACCTCGTTGCGGCCCTGCAGCAGCGGCTCGCGCGTCAGCAGCTCGCCGAAGATGCAGCCGACGCTCCACAGGTCTATGGCCGGACCGTAACGCGCTGTGCCCAGTAGAAGCTCTGGCGCGCGGTACCAGAGCGTCACGACCAGCTGGGTGAGTGGTCGGGGCGGTGGGTCGCCGACGTATCGCGCCATGCCGAAGTCGGCGATCTTGAGCCGGCCGCGGTTGTTGAGGAGGAGGTTGGAGGTTTTGAGATCGCGGTGGAGGATCCAGTGGTCGTGGAGGTAGGCTACGCCAGAGGCCAGTTGCTGGAGGAGGGTCTTGACTTCGGATGCGAGGAAGGGTTCGGGCATGTCCTCGAGGATGGACTTGAGGTCGTGCTCGAGAAATTCGAGAACGAGGAAGATGCTGAAGGAGACGGAGGACAACACTTGTTAGCAAGGGGTTGAGCTGATACACGAGAGGCAATCTCGGATCTACTAAAGGGGCAAGCACATACTTTTCAATCCTGCTCGTGTCGTCCCCGACCACCACCTCCCGCAGCTTGACCACATTCCGGTGGTCACAGTCCTTCAAGATCTGGATCTCCCGCAATCCCGTTACGGGTAGCCCCCCGCGGTCCTTGGGGTCAATCTTGAGCCGTTTGAGCGCTACTACCTTGCCCGTCACAGCGTCTTTAGCCCGCGACACCCAGCCGTAGGCCCCCTCCTCGATGTCGTTGAGTTTGTCGTAGTTCTCAACGCTGCGACATCGGCCAAAAGTGCTGCCGCTGCCAAAGCGGAGGAGTTGACTTGGGGCATCGCCGCCCTGGTCGAGAGTCTCGCGCCCGGGTGATACTCGTCGTCGTTTCGCTGGGGGGCCATCGAATGCTGTGCCGTGGCTCTCATCTTGCCCGTGTCGTTGTGCGCTATCAGCAGTCGCAGCCGCAGCCGCCTCTCGAGCTTGTTTTTCCGCTTCCAGCCGGCGCGCTTTCTCGGCTTTGGCGCGCTTCTTTTCTTCCTTTTCCTTCTTCAGTCGCGCTTCGAGCGCTGCATCGGCCTCGTCGTCGGCCCAACGGGACTTGGCCTTGCTCGCCATTGTATTGGGGAAGGGGTGCGTTGTCGGGTCTGAATCGTACTATGATGTTGGCAGGCCAGGGCGAGTATCTGACCTGCAATGCCGCTCTGGTGGCCTTCCGTGGGAACAGGGTGCCCGCATCTCCTGGAGGTGCGCTAAGGCGACGAATTTTGAGCTTGGTGAGCTTCCCTGCACACTCGGCTTTATTTGGAGATTTCCTAGTTGGCCAAAGCTTAATCGACCCCCATGCCTCACACAACAGGAAAACTTCAAACAGGAAATGTGTCTTATAAGAACTCATGGGTTGCATTATTTATCTTCGCGAGAAACGTGCAAATCTTCTAACATGCAGTTTACAATTCACATGCCCACAGTCCACGCTGCCTTGCTCTTTTTTTCCTTCCTTCCATTGTTTCTCTTCGGAACCTTGATGGTTACCTAGTGTAGGTACCGCCGAACTAGATCCATGAAACCCCCGGCCCAACCAAAAGCCAAAGGAAAAAATTCCAAACACCAAACACCACCAAAGGCGAAGTAAAAGAAGGTATAACTGACCTACTAAAGAGTGAGCTAAGCAGAGGCCTGGGGAGCAAAAGTATGATCGACCCAGGGATCGAACCTGGCACCTTCTCGGTGGAATTGCTCCAGTTGAGTCCAACTTTTGTGAACGAGACGTGATAACCACTACACCAGTCGACCTTGACAAATTCCGCCGGATTCAGGGGTTATCGCGGGGTCCTCTCACCGAAGGTTGGCCGCTGGAAAATCCGAAAGTGCTAACTTCACTTTGGGATTCATCACCACTTGTTATTAACAAATTCTGTGGAATTTAGCCGAGCCCCTCGTATGGTCCTTGTGATTTTACACTTTATTTCAATAACAATCCAAGTTCTTGCAGAGCAACTGGGGCCTCAGGCGTGAACGAAAGAATGTCGCTGGGCTGGTTGCCCGGCGGAAGCTCTTGTCGATGGAGGGGCAGCTCAGCCCAGGCAACATCCCCAATCATGATCAGGGACAGGGGGTGAACGAGGTAGACACTAGGCAAAATTGGGAATGGTTTCGCCAAGCCGCCCACTTCTAAAATGGGGGGCATCCTTTCATTCATGCTCTCCGCTGCGGGCGGTTTTGGGTGTCAAGTTCCCCAAGTTATTTCCAAACCTCTCCAGCTCCTAACCTCCAACTGCTTGCAGTCTCTCGATCTTGACGCCTTGTCCGTCAAGTCATCGCTTTTTGGCTCTACCCACCGGCCGCTTCCTCTTTGCTCACTGTTTTTTCTCTTTTAATTTCCCTCCTGCTCGATCCAATGGCCGGCCGATTCGTTCGCGCGTCGAAATATCGTAGGCGTCCCTCCTGAGCTCTCTCCCACTCGCGTGCCTCCTTCGGTCGCTACCTACGAGGTAGCCACCTCGAATCATACCGCACCCGACTGCTAACCGGCCGACCCCGACCAGGACACATCTTTGGAAAGTCCACCAAGAAGGAGTTTTGCTACGATAACCTCCGCGTCAGCCGCAATGCTTGGGATACCAACTTGGTAAAGGTAGGCGTCTTGTTCCCATTTCCTAGCAACGAGCCTGGCTGCTGACCATTGGGCTACTGCTGGACTAGGCCAACCCCGAATATCTTTCCGTCAATTGGGAGTCTAGCGGCGGCGGCGCTTTCGCCGTCATCCCCCTCAATGAACGTGGAAAGCTGCCCGACCAAATACCCCTCTTCCGTGGCCACACCGCTGCGGTGCTGGATACCGACTGGTGCGTTGCTTCTACCGGCACCCTGACAGCTCTGGATCAGACACAGAGTTAATCAATCGTTGATCTTACAGGAGCCCTCACAACGACCGTATCATCGCCTCGGCCTCCGACGACGGCAAGGTCTTCATCTGGGAGGTGCCACAGGGCTTCAGCCTCTACACTGACGCTGAGGAGATCACCGATGTGGCCCCTGTGAGCAAGCTGACCGGCCATTCGAGGTGTGTACATATCAAACATACCATGCCGATGTTCTGCGCTAGAGCAACGACAGGTTACTGACTACCCTCCAGAAAGGTTGGCCATGTCCTCTTCAACCCCGCCGCCGAAAACGTCCTCGCTTCCTCGTCCGGCGATTATACCATCAAGCTATGGGATATCACCACAGGCCAGGCGGGGCACACTCTCAAGCACTCCGACGTGGTCCAGAGTCTGTCGTGGAGCGCTAACGGTGCGATGCTGGTGACCACCTCAAGAGACAAGAAACTTCGGGTTTGGGATGTGCGCCAGGAGGCTCCAGTGCACGAATACGGCGGCCATGAGGGCGCCAAGACTAGCCGCGCCGTGTGGATGGGCGAGCACAACCGTATCGTTACCACTGGGTTTTCCAGGATGAGTGAGCGTCAGATCGGTCTTTGGGAGCCCGGTCGCAAAGATCCCATCGGCGGTTTCACGTCGCTGGACTCTATCTCGGGTGTCTGCATGCCGTTTTGGGGTAAGCCCTCGCCTTGCCCCCCTTTCCACGAAATAGTTTTCTTACCCAGTGTGCATTACAGACGAGGGATCGAACTGCCTTTACCTTGGTGGCAAAGGCGACGGCAACATCCGCTACTTCGAGTACGAGAACGACAAGTTCGAGTTCCTGTCCGAATACAAATCAGCCGATCCCCAGCGCGGAATCGCCTTCGTGCCGCGTAGGGGTATCAACGTCCACGAGAACGAGGTCATGCGCGCGTACAAGACCGTCAACGACACCTACATTGAGCCCATCTCATTTACCGTCCCCCGCCGCGCCGAGACCTTCCAGTCCGACATCTTCCCCCCAGCTACCGGGCTCAAGGCTGCTGTGTCTGCCAAAGAGTGGTTCGACGGCAAGACGGGCATCCCGCCCAAGATCGATTTGGAAAGCATCTACGATGGCAACGCGCCGGTCGAGGTGCCTGCCGACTACAAGCCGCCCGCGGCCGTGACTGCTCCTGCTCCGGCGCCGGCACCAGTCGCGAAGAAGCCCGAGCCGACCCCTGCGCCAGCCCCCGTCCGTGCCTCGGCCACGCCGGCCGATCAAAAGGCGTCCATGTCGGCTGCGGCCAACAAGTTCCAGGATAATGAGGAAGATGAGGTGAACGATGACGCCGAGGCGTCTAGCTTTGACGAGATTTCGCGCCCCACACCCCGCGCCACCATTCCAACCCGGTCCTCCGTCCCAGCGGCTGCGCCAGCTCAAGCGAAACCCGTATCGCCGGTCAAGCCACAGCAAGCGGCCGCGGCCGCTCCGATTTCCCGCGCTGCTCCCGCAGCCTCTTCCACAACGTCCGCTTCGCCATCGAACCCCGCGGTGGAGGCGTCGCTGGGCGAGATTAAACAACTCCTCGAGAAGCAGGCCCAGGCCTTTGACGCACAAAGTGAGGTCATTGCCGGCCAGACCCAGGTGATCAACCGCCTGGCTGCAGAGGTTGAGAGCCTCAAGAAGAGGGTTGGGGCCGGTTCGCAGGACCAGAGCGAGCGGATCCGACAGCTGGAGTTGGAGCTAGAGGAGGCTCGGTCGTAAAGCAAGCAGGCGCGTAGTTAAGTTCCCACGATATCTAGTGCTTCGAGTTACAGATAGAGGGGCGGGTGGGTTGTTTTGTAATCGGGACGGGAGAATGACGCAAAGTGCGTGGGGTATTATGGACGATGTTATGAGTGAATATTTGGGTGGGCGTTTCTCTTCCCCCCCCCTCTTCGGCCTTCCTCCTCGCCGTCATGATTAGGAGAGGGAGAGTGGGAAAATTAGGCGTTGGCTTTACTTCCCTGGACAGCCAGGCGAACAAATACCCAAAACTTTACCTTGTAGGAACTTGGTGATGTATCCAAACATGGCTGAGGGCGTTGAGTTGCGAGTGAAGTGCAAGTAACACGAAACTGGCGTCTTCTATTGTACAGTCCATACGTATGTACATACATACATGATTATTCTAGACTCGGTCCATGATATGTTACCTCCGAGCATCCATCATTACAACCCCAATTTGCAGTGGGCCACCCAAAATATCACCAAAACCACGCTCCTTCCCTCCCACACTATATATATTAGATCCCGCAGGAAAACGGTCACCAGCTCCTCCCAATTCGCTAAACAGCGTGTTTGGCGCAGCGGCATTGAGAGGAGCACCACGCCAATTCCGTCGTAAATCGAAATGGCTCCGGGTTCGATTCCCGGGGCCAGCGGAGAAAAAGCCCCCCCGGTGGGCTTTTCGTAACAACCGACCGCTATCCCTCCGGATGGGGATAGGGTTCGGTGGTGAGCTTTTTGGATGAATTTCTTTTATTTTTCCGGTCTTTTTTTTTTTTCCTTCTTCTTTTTTGCTTGCCCGACAAGTAACTAATAAAAGATGTGGAAATAGAACAGCAGTCCACCTTCTTTTCCTTCTCCCCCCTAATTATTTTCCCCTTCCCCCCCTCACAACTAACTGACTTCATCACCCTGCCAAACGCTATCCGTGCACGCCCGTCTCCCAAACCACCAATCTCCCCCGCCTCCTCCAGTCCTCGTTAAACGCCCCATTCCACGCCGACCAGACACGTGTGAGACGAACACCCATGCCACGGCCCGGTGCGGCTGCGGCTACGGCTGCGGTAGCCGGGGTGACCCTAGATTGGTTGTCATCATGGGTGATGATGTCGCTGCCGAAAAAGGTCTGTAGTACCGGCTCGATACCCTCGAAGCCGATGATGTACCGTGGGATTTCGCCCGCTCTGCGGGGAGGCTTTTGTTTGTCGAGATGCGAGGCATCTGCTGCTGCATTTTCATCAACGGCCGAAAGAAGCGGCCACATCTCCTCAGCGAGGAAGTGGACGCCATAGGGGGCCGCTACCGCATCACTATCGCCATCGCCAGTGTTCTCGGTACCTCCAGTGGCAGAGTCGGTGGCGGGGAGATAAAACCGGTCGGCCTCGTCGAGGTAGGTCGCGCGGGCGGTCGTGCCGGGGGCCGTGTGCAGTGGCGGTTCGCAGGTCAGGGCACGGGCGCGTAGGGCTGGGTAGACGAGGTGGGAACGCCAGGGGGTGGTATGGCAGGGGGTGAGGAAGAGCGCGAAGAGTTCTTTTTGGTCGGTGATGGTATTGTTGTTGGGGATGTCTAGGACGGTGGTGGGTGAGATCGGGTTGTGGTGATAGTGCGTGACGCGTTCATCGAAGCTAAGGGCATCGGGGTGGAGGCGCTCGAACTCGGTGCGTAGGAAGGTGAGTACGGATAGTGGCGCGGGCTGGTGGAAGAGAGTGAGGTAGCTGGCGAGGAGGATATTGACGGACAGGAGATTGATTAGCGTCCATTTATGACGGAGTGTGATGGGCTTTTCGGGCTGAGAGGATGTCGGTGATGATGGCTTTGAGGCCGGCGCCGGAGTGGTAGAGGGCTGTGTGAAGAAGGCGGTGATGTAGGGCGCCGCAAGAATGTGCAAGATTGGGAGGAGCGGGTAGATGAAGCGGACCTCCTTATGTGAGATGATGGTAAGCGCGGCAATCATGGCTAGAACGCAGAGATTTAGTGTCCCGAGAGTGCGAGTCTGTAAACCGCCAGAACCCTGGGAAGACCAGGCGGCGGATGTCTTGCGTAACCCGACGAGGACAAAGGGGAGGAATGTCGTGGTAAGCAGGGGCACGCCTTGGACGAGGTAGTAATGCCAGGGCATGTGGCCGTAGAACACGGCGAGCGACTGTGAGAGGTTGAAGTAGAGCCAGTTGTATGGCGGGAAGGTCCAGAAGCCGAAATACAAGCGGTCGGAGACGAGGGATATGGCTAGCACTGCGGTGCCGCAGACGGCAATCTCGCGTAAAAGTACCAGTAGAGCCTGTGACTGAAACGTCGTGCCTTTCGTGGCCGTTAGACGGATGACGGACGCAGCCAGGACAACGAGCCAGATGAGCAGATTTGTTGGGCGCAGCAAGACGGCAACAGCAGCCAGGATGAGAGAGATTCGAAGACTGTCAACAGGTTAATCTGGCTGATAGTTATCACAGGACACAGGGCCGGGCCGGCGAACCTCATCACTCCCATGTTAGCCTGCAATGGCAACTGTTGTTTCCCCTTGGCATCATTGAGAATTCCCCATGGCCAGTAAGACAGCGCTGCTATGGTCAGAGTCGTTTCTAGGGAGTTGGAAAACGTCCTCGTCGAGCAGTACCACTGCCAGGGGTTGAGAGCGGTCATCCAGAGCTAAGGGCGGTTGACGGTCAGCGTTGAGTCGTTGGGCCGCACGCAGTCATCACATCACCATCGCCAACACCAAGTGTGGCCGGAGTCGCTAGCAGAGGATGCAAAAGAGAAGAAACGCACCGCAACCCACGGAAAGTTACTCTCCCTGCCATAAATGTCCATGGCCAGCTTCCATGTGTAAAAGTCACCCAGGGTGGCGAATACAGACTGCAGGGCGCCGGGTAGGGCGACGAGCATGACGGCCTTGAACGGCGGGAACAGGTGGAGCGCGCCCATAAGATCTTCGGCAGCTTTGTATGCCAAGCCAAAAATGGCCGGGTGTAGCGATGACCTGAGTTGGTGTTGCCATTCCTGGAGCGGGAGCACATAGGCAAACACAGGCAAGGCAGGTCAGACAATTGTACTACGAGGAGATAGATATATACGTCCGGGAGATGGAGGCGCAAGAAGGAGGCGGGAGAGGAAACAAAGGGGGTGTTTAGTTACCCAGGTCATCCAGGCGCCGCTCTGCTCCCCAAAGGCGATGTTCCATGCGGGCTCCAGAGCTTGGAAATATTCATCGGGCTGGAAGAAAGTGCGCACACAGAGCGCGTTGATGAAGCGAAAGAAGAGTAGCAGACTGAGGACATCGCTAACCTGGGCAGCCGCGACTTCCGCGTGAAGCGCCACAGGTTGCGAAGTCCCTTTTCTCCCTGGACCTTTGGGGACATCTCCTTTCGGCGAGTCTGTCGATGTTTCCTCTGCCTCATGGGATGCCCCGATGGAACCCGCCCCGTGCCGCTGCCGCTGCCGCAGGCCCTTGGCATCCGGCGGGGATTCCATGGCGCAAGTGGGCAGTAATGTGCTGTGTAATGCGCGGCGGGAGTGAGGAAATCAAGGTTGGAAAGGAAGATGAGATTGCAGTACGTAAAGTGAGAGAAGGGCTTGCATTGGCTTGTTGCCAGTGTCCAGAGCTGCAGACAGGTGGCAGGCCTTGGCTCATTGTGCTGACTTGGCGGGTCCCCTGCTGAAACTGCTAGTTATGATTGGCTGTTTCTGGCCTTACCACGCTGCTGCCCTATCACCTGATTGCGGTTGGCCAGTCGGCGCCGTGGCCCCTGCACCACCGGCACCGAAGGCCCCACCGCCAACTCTCCGCTCCGGCCACGCTCCTTCTTCGCATGCAACCACGGACCGGTTCTGAGCGTGATTGGCTCATTCGAAGACATTTGCCCGCTTTGGAGGCGCCGAGTCTGGCTAGGTTCCATTGCTCTTGTCTTTCCACCTGTTGTCGGCTCCGTTGGCATGAAAATCCAACGGTAAAAGCGAGCTTCCCGACAAGAGTGCGCAAGTGCCCGCGCTTGTTCCCGAGCCTCCTCACACAAGGGCCGGGGCCTCGGGATTCCTGGGCACGGCACTGGCGGGCGACACCCCCAGAAGCGGACCGCCAGGGCCGCTCTGCGTCGGCACACAGGGATGTTGGCGGTCTCTCCAGGGATTCCGTGGGCCCACGTGAGGGGTTGTTGCCGTCATGTCGCCCGCAACGCCGCTTCCACTTGCACTTAGGAGTATAGTGGCGTTTCACGCAACCCACAAAGCAAACCTTTTCCGGCTGCATTGGGAGACCGAATCCTGGAGCAATGAGTTTGTCATGTTCTGCCAGCTTCGCTTACAAAAAGGGCCGGTTACAAGCGTTGGCTTGCTCCTGTCCTTCTGTCTGACTTGCTTCTCCCTTTTTTCTTTCACATATCAAGACAGGACAGAAAAGATCACTACTTCAGACGAAACACTTTTTTCATACCAAGCCCGCCTTAAACGTATCCCGCAAGGTGCCCGATACATTCTCTCAGTTTTCTGAATTCGTCCTAGCCTCTCGATATTACCCCGGATCGGCCTGAATGATTGGCACACCCACCCGATCGGATCCCCCAACAAGCCTTCTTTATCTCTCGGACTGAGCGGGTCGTGGGGTACTTGATTACATTCCCTGCCCACCCTATACGTTCCAGGTTGGTGTTCCAACTCACCTCTGTCGTCATCCCGTCCCGCTTGCCACCCACCATAACGGTTTTCCAAGCCTCCCATTTTAAGACTCGGTAACACAGCGAACAAATTCTAACAAAATAAAAAGGTACATTGAAGCACATTAGAGATACCAAAACCATAGCAACACCGCAGCCCCATAATATCACAACCACAAGCGACATCATGGCGCCCCACGCAGACCAGGACGCCTCCCATGCCAATGGCAATGGCACCCAGCCTTCCAAGGGCCGCTATCACGCGACTTCGACCAAAACCGCCATTACCGCCGAGAACGAGTTTGCTGCCCACAACTACCACCCGCTCCCCGTGGTGTTTGCTCGCGCCCAGGGCGTCCACGTGTGGGATCCCGAGGGCAAGCACTACCTCGACTTCCTCTCCGCATATAGCGCCGTCAACCAGGGGCACTGCCACCCGGAACTGGTCAAGGCCTTGACCGAGCAGGCCGGCCGCCTCACGCTCAGTTCGCGCGCTTTCCACAACGATGTCTTCCCGGTATGGGCCGAAAAGGTCCGCAAGGTGTTCGGCTTCGACATGGTGCTACCTATGAACACGGGTGCCGAGGCTGTCGAAACCGCCATCAAGGTCGCTCGCAAGTGGGCATACAAGGTGAAGGGCGTTGCCCCGGGCAAGGCTCTAATCTTTAGTGCCTCGGACAACTTCCACGGCCGGACGGTAGGCAATTTCCCCACAGCCGCCCAGGAATAAGACAAACGGGTGATGGCTAACTTATTGGGCGTCTAGATGACCGCAGTCTCTCTCTCTGTCGACCCTGAGTCCCGCGACAACTACGGGCCCTACCTCCCCAACACTGGCGCCATTAACCCCTCCACCGGTGCCCCCATCCGCTACAACAACATCCCCGATCTCGAAGCAGTTTTGGAGGCCCACGGCCCCGAAACCGCCGCCTTCATTGTCGAGCCCATCCAGGGCGAGGCCGGCGTCATGGTCCCCGACGACGACTACCTGACGCGCGCCCAGGCCCTCTGCCGCCGTCACAACGTGCTACTCATCTGCGACGAGATCCAGACCGGTATCGCCCGCACCGGCCGTATGCTGTGCTCCGAGTGGGCCGGCATCAAGCCCGACATGGTGACCCTCGGCAAGGCCATCTCCGGCGGCATGTACCCCGTCAGTTGTGTGCTGGCCGACCGCGCGGTCATGGACGTTATCGAGCCGGGCACCCACGGTTCGACATACGGCGGCAACCCCCTTGGCTGCGCCGTTTCTATCCGCGCCCTCGAGCTTGTCGAGGAGGAAAAGCTTGTTGAGCGCGCCGAGCGCCTTGGTCAAATCTTCCGCGAGGGGATTGCCGCATTCAACTCACCCATTGTCCGTACCGTGCGCGGCAAGGGCCTCCTCAACGCCATTGTCATTGACGAGAGCAAAACGGAGGGCCGCACCGCTTGGGAATTGTGCCTGCTGCTGAAGGATAAGGGCGTGCTTGTAAGTCTCACATATTTTCCCTTGCGCTCCGCGACTCCTAGGAAATCAAATACTGACTTTGCCTCAGGCGAAACCTACGCATGGTAACATCATTCGCTTCGCTCCGCCCCTGGTCATCACCGAGGAAGAGCTCCGGGGCGCTATCCAGTCGATTGGCGAGGCGCTCAAGGAGCTTCCCACCGCTAAGGTGGCCGAGGGCGGTCACTAGACCAGCGCAGACGCCACGAGTTCGAAGAAGAAAGAAGGTTCGAAGCGACGAGACCGATCAAAAAGCCCAGCGACAGGCCTGAGATGTCTGAGTGCACGCCTCAGTCCTATATTAGTATCCTGTACTATTGTACGTGTCTTCTATGTCCGTCTACTTGCTCGAGGGTAGTCGGTCACCGAGCGGCGTCTTGGGTGTTCTTCTGTTCCTTTTCGGGGTTTTGGATAATGATACCATGATTGGGAACTCACAACACACTCCCGATACTGGGAACGCACGGGACTGGTCCTGCATCGTTTTGTTTCTTTGGGCCTAGATAGGAATGGGGCGGGTTGGATTCAGGGTCTGGAAATACCCTATGGTTGCTGTATAGTGCATACATAGCGTGCATGGTGTAAATAGCACCATGCCGGCTTCTCCATGCGAGGTATGGAAGGCAAGCGAGGAAGGGAGGGCAATTTGAACCTCTTGTATCAAGTTAAGAGCCGTACAGACATAAAACCAAGAAAATAATATCCTCCCATAGTCACTTCCCTTCGCATGGACCATGACCCATCCTCGATATTGTACTGCCTTCGCTACAATTCACCGTCCTCAAGTGTTCACCACCGTTTGATAAATCTGAGTCCACGCAGGGGGGCCATATGTATGATCACACAATGATAGCTCGATATATGGTACCTTCAAGGTTTCAACAACTCCCCGCTCTCAACCCCCCCTGCCTGCCCGAGGCACACACACCAAAAAGCCCCACTCACCGTACCTTCCCTCCGTTCCGAGTATATAAGTCCCCGTCTCGCTGCTCCTGCCACCATCTCCTCCCAATTCGCCAAACAGCGCGGTGTTTGGCGTAGTGGTGTTGGGAGGGGCGCTGGTCTTCCCCCGCCAATTTCCGTCGTAAATCGAAATGGCTCTGGGTTCGATCCCCAGGTCAGCGAAGAAAAATCTTCACCAGAAGATTTTCGTAACTGCCAACGTCTATCCCTCCGGATGGGGATGGGGCTTGGCTGTGAGCTTTTTAATGTTCAATTGTTATGTGGTTATTGATTACTTTTTGTGAATAGGAAGAGATCAGGGGGATCGTAAATTTGCGAGATAATTGTTGGCGTAGTTGTGACAGTGTCAACTCCTGGTTTGGCTAGATAGTCCGAACCATGGCTCCTCTTTCGGGGATGTTACAGAGTGGTTAGTTGCACTTACTCCCGTGACATACGTTTACGTTAAGGACAAGTCTGTTGTATATAATAAGTCTTTATCCTATAATTTGTCTAAAACTTTCCCGCCCTTAAGAGAGTCACTACCAAGATCAACTCCATATTTTCCCACCCAAACTGATGCCGAGTTTAGTAGTTGGGGCTCCCTTGCCAGTGGAGCATACTAGAGCTGGTGAGTAAGTGTCTCGGGAAAAACACCAGCTGTCAGAGTGGTCCAGACTCGCATTTTTTTTAGCACAGACGATGGACCTTAGAAACCGATTCCTCTTCGTACCTATCATTCTTCACTTTGATCTCGGGCAGTGATATGGTTGTGGGTGGGTTAACGTTATCAAGGACCCGACAGGCCCACACAAGCGACCAACGCAGCTTTCCCAAAACGGCAGGTCCTGGTAACAAAAAGGTGTAAGTCGCGGCCCACAGACGACGACAAACCAGCGACACCGGAAAAGGGCCCGTTTGAACACATGACCGAGTCTAGATAGAGTGTTGTCAAGTGGTTCCCCCAAAAATTTGTTTATTATTTCTTTCTAATGTGTTTCCTAAGCCGCGGCGATTACAAGCTGTTGCAGGACAAATCACCCCGCATTTTGAAGCTTGGATGGGGGGCCGCGTTCCTGCCTTCTAGGCTCCCCATCACACCACTTTCCTTTCGATCGGGAAAGAGCGAGGTGGGGGTAGTTGCTGGCTCGGAGATAATTGGCCTCATCTCTGACTCCTTCAACTTTGCTTTTTGATACCCTCTTTTCTTTAGCTTTCTCGGTTATTAGCAGCGGGATTGGCAGCGGGATTGGCAGCGGGATTGGCAGCGGGACTGGCAGCGGGACTGGCAATGTTGTGCGACCCCCCGCGCCGTCATCTGGACCCGTCACTCGGTCTGACTTGAGTGGACAGACAGCCCTGGATGTCGCCGGAAATTACGGAAGAACTCTGTACGTACAAAAATGAACCAACAAGCCAACAATATTGCCGTTACTTACTCATTATACTGGGAACATAGGACTATTTATCCAACCCACACACCCCGCCCCTTGTCGGATTCTCCTCCTCACCAGGCTCACCTACCTAAGAAAAGGTGTTCGGATCCAACCTCAGCTTATAACAGTTGTTCTCCATGACCCCTCCCTGCTTTCCATCCGCCCCGTCGCAGTTACAGCTGTCGATGATGACCTTGAAATAGCGCAAGCACTGATCCTGGTCGACCACAAACCGGCACCCCTCCTTGATGAAGAACTCGCCCACGATATGGATATGCCACCCACTGCCGCCCAGCTCGTAGTTTCTCGTATACGCCATCACCCCGCCGCTGCCTTTCTCGGCCCGCAGCTCGGTCCCTTCGTTGCCCATCTCCCGGCAGAAGCTACGGGCCGTGTTGGCCATCTGGTCGTTGACTGCTTTTTGGCCGCTGTTGTAGCAGTCGCGCGTGTTGGTCATGGGATCGCCCACCGCCAGGGTCGGGGTAGGCGTTGCGGAGGAGGTGGAAGAAGTGGAAGAAGTAGTGGGATCGTCGCGCGGGCACAGCGGGAACGGGTTGACATACTGTTTATGGCTCCCGTCGCACTCCCGCGGGCAGACGGTGTCGAGGTCGCCGTAGTCCTCGTCGGTGTCGTCATCGTTGTCCGGGACGTCGCCGCTGTCCCCCGTCGCGGGCGGCCCCCCCTTGGTATCGCCATACACATAGGGGTCGAGCCAGGACGGGCAGTCGTAACTCCCGTTGATGTAGGCGCACTCGTTCCAGAAATCGTTCTCCAGCGTGGGGTCGTCCAGGTCGCCGACGTGGAGGGTGATTTCCCGCTTGGGCCAGCTGCCGCCTGCGGTCGGGGCGGGGGCGCTGGGGCCGATGGTGGTCGGGGGGTCCGGGAAGGGGACTGTGGGAGTGGCGGCGAGGACGTTGCCGTCGTTGTTGGTGTAGGTCACGGCGGGCCAGTGTGCGAGCTTGGCGGGCTTGGGCCAGAAGACGGAGGTGGATTCGCCTTCGCGCTTCTTCTTCTTCTGGTTTCCGCCGTCCGCCGGGACCGTGTAGGTGACGGGTTCGAAGAGCATGTTGGTCATGGTCAGGGGGGGCCGCGTGATGGTGGTCGAAAAGGTGCCGTCGGAGATGGTGACGAGAGGGTAGTTGACGGTCCGGGTGGCGCCTGTCCACGGGGGGATGACGACGCGACAGGGGGGCACGCAGGTGAATGCCGGCTGGTCCATGTCCCAGATCTTGGGGTCGACGTAGAACATCTCGGCCAGCAGGCCGTCCGACGCGACGTCCATGACGGACACCTGCGACCACTTGGGATGCGTGTCAACATTGAGATAGTCGATGGCCGAGATGGCCTTGCCGTTCATGACGGCCATGTACTTGGAGCCGATGGTGATGAGCTGCTGGAAGCGCACGCCGGCGTGGTTGTCCTCCAGCAGCATTAGCACCTTTTGGCAGGCGTGCTGGTCGATGCAGTCCTGCGAGTACGTGGAGAACCAGCTGTACAGGCCGGCGCCGGCGACCATGACGTTGGCGCAGCCGCGCACGACGACGGCCCACGCCTCGTCGCATCCTCCGAGCTCGTCGTCGCCGTCCGCGGTACAGTTGGCATACGAAGGATCGCTCGCAAACACCCCCACCGCGTCGGCAAACGGCGCCGGCGGCTTCGGCGTCGGCTGATAGTAGGGCGACTCGGTCTGGATCATGCCCGCGAAGATGTTCTGCGCCTTGTTGAAGTTGTACTGGTACAAGACCGCGTGCTCCGACGCGGTCCCGTAGAGCCACGTCGGGCTGACGCTCTCGATCAGGAACCCGCGCGCGACATAGACCGAGTTCTGCACCATGGTGTTGTTGGCGTCGTCCAGGTCCGGGTCGTCGATCATGTGGTCCGACCCCCACAGCCACACGTTCTCGAAGTAGGCCGACGCCAGGGGCGTGATGTGCATCATAAGACTGGCGGCATGGCACCCGGGCTGTGCGGAGCCGTCGGTCAGGGCAGGGCACTCGGCGGGGGTCAGGAGGGTGCCCGTCGCACCCCCCAGGCGCGCGTGGCAATCCCACATGCCGGCCGAGCCGGAGCTAGCACCGCGGACGTTCCACTGCACCAGGACTAAACCCGGCGTAGCACCGCGGCTGGTGAACAAGAGGTCCTGCATCTCGACGTCCCCCACGTCGCCGTTCTGCCCGACCTGCAGCATGACCTTGGGATCCGCGGCGTCCTGGAAGAAAGAGCCCGACGCCATGAGCTGGGACCACGTCTCGCCGACAATCTTGGACCCGACAGGCACGACAACAGTCCCCGTTAGGATATACGAGCCAGCGTCGATGATCAGGATCTGGCCTAGGCTCCCATACAGCGCCCGCTGCAACGCCGCGGTATCGTCTGTCGTCCCGTCCCCCTTGGCGCCAAAGTCCTTGACATGGACAAAGTCCCCCGCGGGCCGGTCCTGGTACTGCGGCTTGGCGCGCTCAAAGTAGGCGCCCTTGGAGTCGAGCAGGCCCGGCACGCGGCGGAAGCCGTTGTCCGCCTTCTTGCCCAGGGCGTAGTCGGGGCCTGCCTCCTGGTAGACGGGGCCGAGGGCCCAGTGATGGACGGTACCCGACGCCGGGGCGGCCAGGAGGGTGGATCCTCCGGTGTCTGCCACGACTTGGGAGACGCCCGAGACGGCTACGTTGTCGATGACGACGCCGGTGCTGCCCGAGCCGGCCTTGTCCTGGGGCGGGGCGACGAGCACGGCGGTGCCGACGTTGGTGAAAGTCGAGTCGATGAAGGAGGCCGAGCCGATGTTGCCCTGGCCGCCACCGGACGCCTGACGCTTGGATGTTGCCTTGTTAGTGTTCTCAGTCTCCTGCAGCAGGCGGAAGCCTACGCCGACGTCGGTCATGGTGATGGACTTCCAAATCTGTAAACCGTCAGCTGCTGAAGTTCTGAACACAACTTACAACTTGCAGAGATTGCAGAGATTGCAGAGAACTCACCCATCCCCAGTCCCAGATCACCTGCACGCCGGTATCACACCCGATAAAGGTGAGGCGCTGCGCTGTAAACTGCTGGTTGCCGCCGTACAAGCCGTATTTGCCTCCGCGGAACGTCACGTCGGAAATGGTGCCGCCGCTGCCGTTCTCGGCAAAGATGCCGCGCATTGTTGTGCCTGCCACGGCGATGATCTCGACGTTTTGCATGCTGGTGGCCTGGGCCACCTGCCAGTGCACACCGGCGACCCCCTGCGCGGCCCTCGTCTGCGTGATGTCGATCCGGATGTTGCGCAGCTGCCGGTAGAAATTGGCCGTGTTGATATAGTACTCCTGGTCGAGTCCGTCGGCGCCCGTGCCGCCTCCCGTGTACTCGTCGGACGAGAGCACGCCGAGCCCGATGAAGGACTTGGTGGCAACCAGGGTGGGCGGGTCGTTGGCCTGTTACGTCCTTTGTCAGAGAACTGAGAGAACTGAGAGAACTAAGAGAACTGAGAAATTATCAGACGATAGACGTACATCGCCAATGACCTGGGTGCCAAACGGCATGGGGATGGTCGAGGAGATGCGGTAGTTGCCTGGCGGGAAGTAGACGATGGCATTCTTGAGCGTCGAGCCGTTGCACTTTACTCCGCAACGAGTGCCGTCTGTCATGGCCAGCTTGATGGCCTTGGTGTCGTCCTGTAAGGC